CTCAGCAGGATCGCCATGGGACAACAGTCGTCGGTATCTTTCGGCGAAGCCGCCACGGAACAATCAAGCCTTCGGTTTTCGTGCGCGTATTCAACAGGTTTATTATTATAATCTCATTGTCTATCAGTCGGTCAACAGTTATTACGTTATTCAACTAGCGTTTTCGATCACACACTAATCATTAAGCTATACGCACGCAATGAAGCCGTCAAAAGGGACACACAAGTCTAATTGCCAAACGTGCCAAACGTGCCACACACGTACAAGCAGCGGTCAAGGGTGCTGACTGCATTACATCAACGGACACGACTATAAGACGCGCAATATCTACTAAACACTCGTCAAAGGATCCGTCAAGGCAACGGAATCGCTGTGAATAAAAATAACAAGTCACGAAGGGCACCCTCTCTCATTGTGCGCTCTTGTTTGATGATGGATTTGTTTCGTGATTTGGTGGACTATCTGCAGCTCCATACATTTGTGATGTGAATAAGTGCAGCCCTTGTAGTAAATCATTTGCATGGATCACGAATTTTTCAACTTCAGGAGCTGTCCTTTTGACTGTTGGTGAGATGACGAGTTTTTGCAGGTGGTACTTTATAGGTAATCCAAGAGGTTATATCATATTTCTTTTTTAATTTTTTTCAGGCTATTTTAAGAGAGATGTTGTAGTGTAGCGATGCTAAACCTGATATGATTCTTGCTGCTGAGCCTTCTAGTGATGTTCTGAGGTAATTTTGCTTTTCTACATACCCCTTTTTAGGATTATCGATTGGAACGGATCGCGGAACATTGGCCATGCTAAATAGTCGCCTGAGAACTTTGGAATTGGAACATCTGGTAGGCAGGCCATCTCCCTTGATTCTCCCCTCCGTGGACGATATTTCATCTGATTTTGTATTTGTCCTTGTTGGCTCACCCAATACATTATTACATAGCCTCGCGATGGCTATTTGCGCCAATGTGTAAACACTTCTCCTTACGTGTTCATTATAAAGTAATCATAATTAGATAATGACGATGGCCATGTAGCCTCAATATAGCTACCTCATTGCAAAATGCTTTATGTAAATCGGCAATTAGTTCCTTTATACATAGTACTTCTTTAACGGTTGTCTCCAAATGAGATACTGAGAGCCCTTAAAGTTAGATCCTTCATTCTTAAAATAAAATTCTATTAACTTTGAGCCTTAACAACAATCGTGAATTATTATTTTTACTCACAGCGATTCCGTTGCCTTGACAGATCCTTTGACGAGTGTTTAGTAGATATTGCGCGTCTTATAGTCGTGTCCGTTGATGTAATGCAGTCAGCACCCTTGACCGCTGCTTGTACGTGTGTGGCACGTTTGGCACGTTTGGCAATTAGACTTGTGTGTCCCTTTTGACGGCTTCATTGCGTGCGTATAGCTTAATGATTAGTGTGTGATCGAAAACGCTAGTTGAATAACGTAATAACTGTTGACCGACTGATAGACAATGAGATTATAATAATAAACCTGTTGAATACGCGCACGAAAACCGAAGGCTTGATTGTTCCGTGGCGGCTTCGCCGAAAGATACCGACGACTGTTGTCCCATGGCGGTCCTGCTGAGGCTCAGACCGAGCACCCGTGCCATGGCCTCTTCACCGAGAGAGAGAGAGAGAGAGAGAGAGAGAGAGAGAGAGAGAGCGATGATGCTCTTCGCGTGCTTGACTTATATATCCACGCGGCAGTTTACTTACTTATCTGGCAACAAAGCATCGGTCGTGGCTATACGGGAATCTTACATGAGGCGCAGAAAGAAAAGTCTAGAGGATTCTAAGAAAAAAACAAGGCTTAAGAAATATGGAGAATTCTATGCGACGTTACTGCTCGAAGACCATATAAACATTGTAGGCCTTTTGAAATCAAAACATAACAAGTATACGAAAATTCTCGTCCAAAGTGTTTATAGAAACTTGAGATCTAATGAGACTGACGATGCCGACAGTCGATGATCTTGGAAATTGCTTCAATCTCGAACAACCACTATGTATAAATAAATTTAAACGTTCATCGACGATTTAATAAAAATCGAAATTAAAGCCCTTTTTTCTAATTTTTTCATACTTTGATTAACGATCGTATATTGTAAAATTTGTCGAAAACTTTTGATATTCTGTAATAATGTATAAATGTATAAATGTATAAATTCATATTCTAAATATATTTTTTATAGTTATTGAATTTGCAGAAATTTTTCCTCATGAAAAATGTTTTGAAATATATTGCAATAAATTTTGAATGGAATTGAATGGCTAATAATTCTATAAATATAAATACATCATATGCTTATTGTATAATAGAGATATTTCATTTACATGAATAAATGGCTAAAATTATTATAGCCTAATTATCTGATAATAAAAATTAATTCAATATAAAAAATGTTGTCATTATCGGTATTCCCTATTAAAGTAATTAAATCGTATAGAATGATCTATAAATTAATATTCTAACGGAAAAACAAATTTTTGTCATATTACATAATGAGATGTAGGAAAGTTATAAAAGTATTTTTGATCATACTGTTGTTAAAATTTAATATATATATATATATATATATATATATATATATCTATATATTATGGCACAATTAACGAGCATACAAATGTATTAAAGGGAGTAAACAATAATTTTATCTTTTGAAAGGAATATTTAAATATTCTAGAGAAATTATGGAATCACAATAAATGATGGAATGTTCAACTTTAACATGCTTCCATTTTTGCATGATAGTTCGCGTATCAAGAATCCATAGAAATAACTGTAGTGGGTGTATGCCAGCTGTATGTGGATATTTTCTGAATGTATGCATGAAAAGGAAATAGAGAAGGAGAACATGGAACTTTGAAAGACTATGATGCTCTGGCCGGAGGGCTTTTGTTTTGAAATACAATGGTCAGTTAGTCACTTGCCTAACTAGAGTTACGTTAAATATATCGTTTATAATTGAAAAAAGATTATACTAGATTATATCTGTTCATTTAATTTTATCTGAAGAAACTTTTTATTTACCCATGAAATATTGTATTTCATAAATGTAAGGAAATACTATTGGATTACATAGTCACCTATATTTTAAGAAAGTTAATGCTCGTGTGATTCTTCCCTTTAGTAAATCAAAATATTCTCTATTATTTTATACTAGAATATTAATATTTATACTAGAAAAATAAATAATAAACAAAGTATGAAAGTATAAAACCAGTTTCTTTAATTTGTAAATTGTACAAATAACTTATAAGAGTATCTTAATAATAAAATCGAATGTAAAAGTATGTACAATTGCATATACATATATAATTGCGTAAGATATTTTATATTAATAAGATTAATTTTTGTTTATAAAAAATGACGTCATTTTTCTTAAAATTCATTTCACCAGAAAATATAATACGTATAACTTAGCTGTATGCGCATAAAAATATGTGTATGTACAACAACGAAATTTATTAAATGGCATATATACAATTATCGTAACTTGACTAAGTGCTTCATTGCATTAAAATTTGAAATGATTATTCTAATAATATTATTACGTGAGTGATATTGTACTGAAAATTTTGAAATATCTGTATATGCATATATATGCGCGCGTAGACAAGTGTGTGCGTTCTTGCGCGAGTCGTGCGCGCGCTTGTTACTAAAATATATAGTTTGTAAGAGAAAGCAAATACATATGATTGTACACATTGTATAAAAACATTTTATAATTTTTTTGTTTTTTGTTTTTATAGTATATTATTTGTTAAAATTAAAAAATTTATGCAAAAGTAACTTTGCTATATTCAAATATATTTTAAATAACTTTTGCAGCAATCGATTTAAAGCTATAGATATCTCGAACTCTCAAGTCGGCTTTAATATTTATTAGCATACTTACTTACAAATATATTAATGCTAATACTCAGCATCTTGTAAATTATAATTTATGAAATTAAAAATTTTGATAATTTAATAATGTTTATTTATTTTATGGATGAATATTTTCGTAAATAAGTTTTGAGAAATAAAATATTCCATAGGCTCCAGAAAATATTATAATAACAATTTGAATAACTTCTGCAGTATGGAAATGTAATATTGATAATTATTTAACTATTGCAAAGACATTATTATATTAAATGTCTTAAAATATGATTTTATACGATTAATTGTAATTAAGAAAATAAAATATTTTATTACTTTAATTAGGATATTTTACAATCTGCCTTATTTAAACTAACTATTTAACTGATTGCCACAATATAAAAGCCACAATTAATTATTATCAATTATTGTTTTTTTTTTTTTTTTTTTTTTTTGATACACATTCAAAAATATTTTATTGACCTACATTTCATTTAGATATTAAAGATTTAATATTTTTTTCTACTTATTTACATTTTACAAAGTTTGCTTGTACTATTTATTATACACGTATTTCTTCTATACGGAATTCTGTGTGGAATTCTATACGGAATCTATACGACGCCACATACTTTTAAATCTAAAAATCACATTTCAAATTTCATTTTTGTATAACTCAATATAAGTTTTGTTTTTATAAAGATTACATATTGCGCTAATAGATAAAAGTAATGACAAACTAATATTTACAATTTCAATTTACTTTTAAACAGCTTCAAGTTCATTATTATAAATACACTAACGTTATGCGTTAATGTTATTAATTTTACGTAGAATTTTACGCCCCGCGATAAAAACTGAAAACTAATTGAAAATGCAACGATCATATTTGATTTGTACAAAACATATTGTTATATACAAGAATGAAGATAATTATTAATACATTCAATTTCAATCTCGATAAAAGTTATACATGCTCTCGAAACCATATTTATACACGAATCGATCTTCTTTTCGAAATTCTGTCTATTTTTGTCATTTGTAATTAGAATCTATTAAAAACAAAAAACAAAAACAAAAAAAAAAACAAAAAAAAAACAAAAAAAAAGACGATTTTTTGCTCCCATTATTAAGCAAGTGCAAGTTTTTAAAGTCTTGATTTTAAATAATTGTAGACTTCGTGAGACTTACAGCTTTGTCGCTGTCGCGTCATTGACACTTTGAATAAATTCGATCCTCTCTACTTGTTCCGTCGGAGGCGCTTCTCTGCGTCGGTTACACGATGGGATTCTCGTGCAGCCAAGTTCGCCAGGTAAAGGCATTTTCTCCCTACGAGCTAATAAACGTTGGTACGTTTCATTCTCGTGGAGATTTGCGGGCATGATGCCCGATACTATGGGTTTATTCGTACGCGCGTTGGCTTGTGAACGTGGCAGAGTACCCGTTGGCTTTATAATTATTCGAGGTTGCTTTGCCGATCGCTCTGGTATGATCCTTCGTGGACAATCTGGCTGATCCACGCCCATAGCCACCAGCTCTTCTTCTCGAAACTGTAAGTTTATAGGCAATCATAATATATTGGTAAGAGCTCATCATTTTTCAATACAATTTCATCATTTCTAGCATCGCAGAGAACTTGAAGTCTCGTTAAGATTGGCATTCGAATTATTTATTGAAAATTTACATTTTTTTCAATATCAGTGCGACAATTCACAATCCATATTAAGTCATTAATTAAAATTATAAGTACCGTACTAGGGGGCGTTAATTGCCAATAATTCCCTTCACAGATTGTTCGATAGTACAGAACATCTGATAAAGAGAATATATTTGTATTTCGTTAAATAAATTTATTTACCAAAGTTCACTTATTCTGACTTATATTTATTAGCTCATAATGCATTATTTTATCATTATATCGTGTCGGATATGGATTTATTTATGCACACAGACGGCCAACGTATAAACAAAGTTTTTCAGATAATTATATTTTAGACAAGCTAATGTTGCATGAAACTATTTACCGATAATTGTTGATTAATATCTATCCTAGGCGTAATAACTATACGCGGTTCGCTCTTTGCTCCGGGAACGATTGGATCCCTCGAGGTCCCGTGAATCGGACATATTGGAAGACTCGCGGAACTGGATAAATGTGGATTCTCAAAATTATCTGCCAAACTCGGTACCGACTTATTTTTAAGATAATCGGTTTTTTTCCTTAATGGCCCGACGTGCAAAATCGTCGTGACCGGCGATGCTGTTACTTTATTGACTTCATCTAGCTCTTCCTCGTTATTGTCTTCGACGCAGTCAAGACTCCTGCTTATATTAATTAAAATATCGTATTACTAAAAAGTCTAAACATTCTTTATATTCGTCACTGAATAATTGATTCTCGGACGACAAATACTTTGACGTGCCAACTGGTTGAATACCATTTTCATCGAACAAAATTGCAAAATGTATTTTTCATTACATACATGTATATTGAATTGGGCAAACTTTTTATTTCTTAAATTTTGATGAACTAACAATTTAATTTCAATTGCGCGTAAAAATATATTAGTAATAATATTATAATTCATTCGTTTACGATATCATAAAATTATATAGACTATGATTTAACAATACAAGCATGACAATATATAAATCACAAATTTCATAAAAATAAAATGATAAACGTCAATTACAATACAAGTGACATTTTAGTGTTAAATATAAGACATTTTTATATAATAGTTTGTATAGAGAATCGGTAAAAATTATTTAAAATTACCAATAAATTTAAGCATTTGCCGTCGATAAATTTACTATTACTATATTCTTCTCATTTTATAATGCTCACAATGCAATTAATAGTGTACTATGAAAGAATAAATAAACATTCACTCATCGATATTTTAATGAAATTCATTATTTTTTATAAGTATGTACTTTAAAACATTTTGAAAATTATTAAGTTTTATAAGCATTCTAAATAGAAAACGAATGATAATATAAATATTATTGCTTTTAGAAAATGTTTTCAGCTATTAATTATTCTAATAATTATTCTACTTAATTTACTTTTAAACCAATATTGGCAATGATTTTATTTATTTATTATTATATTAATCTATGGATGATTTTTTAAAAGTGTTTGTCTTAATGAAGAATTATTTAAAAATTCTATAATACGTAAATTGACTTGAAATATATCAATAGTCTTCCACGTACCTTGATGTGCTATAGGTACGAGGTGGTGGGGATGGCGGCGCGCCTCCGTGTCGGTATTTATAAAAATGATTGTGATATCTTGGTGGACCTTCGACGAATGATGCATTTGGTGGCAAAGACCTACGTTTCTCGATATCTGGTAGCACCTTTGGATAATTACGGCGCCTTATTGTTCTTAAAGCCTCTTCATGGCTATTAATGTTTAACGCCGGCGAGCCTGTAGTAGATATTTCGTTGTGTACTTCCCTGCAGGTTACATTGACATCCTCAGGATTGGATGGAAGCTCGGGAAGTGGTGCGCCGAATGTGAGCAATCGAGGTAGAGTTGTCGATGCATTTGGGCTTATAGTTGATTGGTTTTTTATCGCCAGCTCCATAGATTCTTGTTGTTGCTATAGGAAAAAAAAAAATTGATTATTCATATGCGCGATAATATTATAATTGGCAATGAAAAGCAATAATAATAATGCTAGAATTTCATTCTCTAAATATTAAAGAATTCCTTTATAATATATATATATATTACTGTGTGGCTGTGGATGTGTATGTGCGCGCGTTTGTCTGATAATATTATTAAATTAGTATATTTAATATTATTTAATCGAAAAGACATCATTATTGTAGATTTATCATTTTATAAATATCGATTTTAAAATAACAGATTTATTTATTATTTATGGCAGTCACTGTTGTCTAAAAGAATTTAATACATATCGATCTCTTGTTAAACTTGGTTGAATTAATCGGACAAACTTTTACAAAACATATATTGATACTATTCGTCTTACTAATTGTTTTTGCAGAATGTATTGATGAACAGGTAAGCGACATTTCATCCTTGGATTGATTTTGGCATAAAGACTACTAGCGCTACCGGAATCCGATTCATTTATTTGCGCCGTAGACAAAATGACTTTCTCGGAGTTATAACTCGGAATCTTATCCAATGGTAAAGGATCGCTCTTAGAATGGTGATGCTCGATCATAACGATATTTGCTGCATTTTTTTCTTCATCCTTTATGTAAGGTATTATGAAGATTTAATTATCAGTTATCAGTTCTTTTATAAAACCATAAAAATATATTGAGGAATAATGCATAATGCTTTTTAATATTATTAGTAGCTGAAATTAGTAGACATTAATCAAAGAAAGTAGACATTATTATTATTATATTAAAATAATTTTAGCTAATTTTTTGATAAGCTGGTATTGTTAATTGGCTTGGTCATTTTAAAATCATTATATAGTAAAGTACTACAAATTTTCGAATAATCTCATATACCAAAAATGTTTGTAATATTCGTGGAGGCTCGATTTTTTCATATTAAAGCGATATTATGGTTCAATGAAAATAAATAATTATATATATATATATATATATATATATATATATATATTAAATGAACAAAAAAATATAAAAGATGCTTATGTCCATAAAATAAAAATAAACAATATGATAGGAGAATTTAATCACAATTTATTATCTGCATATTTTTAGTGCATTAGTATACTTATGCACGTTTTCTTTATTAACATTCAACCGTGGAAAGAAGTATGTCTAGGAGCTAGTTACTGTCGTACTTGAGAATGAAAGTAAAGAAGTAGTAAAATGTAAAAAAGCCTCTAATAAGGTACTACAGAGTTTGAGAGCTAAAAGAAATAGTATATTATAAATTAATATAAATGTTGAAATCTGTAATTACTAAATTGCTTAAAATATTCAAAAAATATATATTTAAATTACTATCTTTTACACAGTACCTATATAATTTCAATTAACATTATCATTCTATATTTATATAATTAAGTAACTATTTAATATCATTATATTGAATAGTTTGTATAAACTATTACTTTTGTATAAACTAGTCGGTAGAACATAAAATTTCGAATGGAACTATATTGCCACATCATTTAAGTAGCCATTTATGTTTATTGTGCGTAGTGTATATTAAAATTTAGCCATAAACACATAAAAATTGTAAACGCGTAATTAAAAATTTTTTTAATTTACTATTAATACACGTAGTGAAAGGGCTGATGATTAAATTTTCGTTAAGCTGATTTAGAAAATAATCTTATGAAAATTGTATGCTAAAAAATTCAATGATTCAATTGCCAAAAGAATCAATCATTTTTAATTAAAGAACGAGGCATCTCCTCCACCGACAGACTACTTTATAAACTTAAAGAATATAATGAAAATCAATAGTGAAAGACATTCGCAGCCTCACCGTGTGAGCTTCATTAACTTGGGACGACTGAAAGTCGGTGGGCTCACAGTACTCGGATGCTCCAATTATCATCCCGTTGTCATCGAACAAGTCCAGGTATTCGCTAGAGGTGCCAGTGCGCGTCAGCTCAATGGGTATTTGATTGAGAATGGAATCGGTGCGAGCGGCGGGTGTCGCGTCCACGGCCACTGACACTTTCGACAGTTTCTCATCGACTTTACGGGTATTGTAACCCGATCGCACGCTGATTTGTTGGTCGTCCTTGTATAGTGTGTCTTCATCCTTATGTATATCCTTGTGCTCGTTATCTGGCTCATGCTTCGAGTCAAATTGTTGCTGGTTTATCCTTTCTCGGTGCTCGCGTTGGAGGGTTTCGCGAGTCTTACGTAAAAACCGGGGTGAGCATCTGCAAGGAAGCCATAAAGATGCTTAGAGACCAGATATTATTTTAAGCAGAGATTTATTATCTAGAATTTATTAAATATATGCATCTGAGTTTCATTAAATTTATTACGATAATAATATTTTGTAATTTGATTCTCGTAATTAAGTAATTTTACTGCAATTATGTTTTCTTCTGTCTCTAATTCAACTATTTATGTACAATTAAATTGAATCATAAAACTTGAAAATAAATAAGAGCATAATTTCGTATCATTTCTTGTCTCTAATTTTCAGTTACATTTGATTATTTTCTGCAATTAAATTTTAAATCTTAACTACTATTCTATTAAAAGAATTACATGGAAGATCGTTAAACTTTCTCCAAAGCCTTCATTGTTTGCGTATATATACACGATAAAGTCGTATTTTATTAATATATGTCCAATGCTATACAGATTATATATAGATGACATATGAATCCAATGCTATATAGATCAGATAAGCATAAATGATTCTTAGAAAAGAAATTTTAGAACAAGTGGAATTTTACAATGCACTTATTGAGACGATCCAAAGCTGAGTTATGAACTTTCCACGATAGAACAACGAAGCATTCGTGCTTGGAATTCTTAACATCTTCAATCGTTAAAATTATAATGTACGTAACTCCCTTCAGAATTCAACGGATAATAAATATTGGCAATCATCTTTGGAAAATTGACTATAGCTAAGTCAAAGTAAGTAAGCCGTGTATAAGAAAAACAAACGAATCAGTCCCTAATAATAAACTAATACCTTATTATAAAGTTCTGGCCATAAAACATCGTATCTTTTTACTTAAATATTAGAAAAGCATTTTCTACGGTAGTTTGGTTAGTTTGATTAATATTATCATTTTATTTAATAATTTATTAAAAATATCATATATGACGAAGGTTTGAAAAAATAACAACGATCAATAATTTTTCTGCGAAAGAATGCTATTGTAGTCATAATTGTAAAACTAATAATGACTATGAATCTCAGTATAGGAAATTAATTGATTTCATTTAGAAATATAAGTTCATATCGTTTAATTATGATTATAAATATAAACTTATATTATATTATGTAAAAATAATTACTACCATCATAGGCATATAAAATCTTTTCCATCTAAATCATGTATGCTACGAGTAAAAGTGGTAGTACTGTTAACAAAAGCAACTTTTCAGAATAATAATTAGTATAATTATATAATTAAACATTGTGTAGGTAATTAAATTGTATTATAAATTTTTCTCTTAAAGCCAACTATGTGTCAATATTTAAAATTAATTAATAATGTAATTGCATCAAGAACTTATTTAATATGATTATGTCCATCTTGATATCGAATGTTATTTGTCGTAAAAAATTCCGTAATTTTATGTAATTTAATATATAGTTTAAACTGTACACCATTCGTACAATTATCACGTTAAATAGTGAAATTAATGAATGAATTTGAATTCAATTATATGGTGCTGTAATTGTATATCGGATTAATCAATATTAATTTCATATGATTACGTTACATTTGATGAGAATTCTCTACCCGCGAATAGAATAAAATTTTTATCGTTGATTTTTTATAAATTCATATTTAAAATTTAATATTTTAAAAATATAATAAATTTTTAACAATTATCAAGAAATAAATATATTAGGTCTTCAAAATATTGGAAAATCCCGTTATAATGATAAAAACGTTACTTAATTTTGCTTATTATTGTATTAATACTCGAGAAAAGCAGACATATATATGTGTGAAAACGCGTGCCCAATGTACAAGTCACGCGTGGCTCTGCTCAATATGAATATGTCAAATCCTCTGAAAAACAGTATGTGATGTATATATAGTAAATAATGTATGCGTGAGTTGTATAATTACAGGAGTGCATGAATGCATGTTTTGTCCGTTGTTAAACTTTGTAGAGCCGAAGGCCCCCGTCCCCTCCTTCCATTTATGCGACCGCAATTTAAAGCATTACACATGTATTGAATATTTCCTGGATACACGTTGGGACACGTGTACAGCTTTAAAAGACGCAAAAAATACAGGACACAGGTCCTTGTGCTATAGTCGTCGCCTAATCCGATAGATACTTTTTCCACTTTAAAAAGCGTCCTTCTTCCGGGATCCGTTCCTCTCCCGTACACGAATCGCAATAAAATTTTCACCGATAATTAGTATGCGCGAAATACTCGCAAACACATTACGATTAATGGGTATTACATGCGTTCAATCAGTCCATGTATAAAATTTACATTCAAAGATTAAAGTGATGAGCAACATAGTTTTACATTACAATATTCGTTCCTTTAATTTAGAGTGTAAAATCATGGTCTAAAGTAGATTTTACAACTTTCACAATGTTTCTAATAAATATAATTATAAATTTGTCGATAATCACAATCTGCTTTTTGATTTCTTAAAATATTCACGAACATTCGTTTATAAAATCCGCACTCGCAGGAAAGAACGCCGAGCTCTTCGAGTCGAGAAAATCGATCGCGAGCTTCGAAAGCTACAATATAATTAAAAGTAATGAAGTATATCTCATAAATATGTTTATGAAATATGACATTTGAATTAGTAAATGTAAATTTGTTTATTCTTAAATAGAAGGTTTACTTTATACAGATATATATATATATATATAAATACATACTTATACATATATATATATAAATCTAGAAATCTAGAAATTTAGGGATATACTACTTGTATTATGATAAAATAAAATATCAAAGCAATGCGAATACGTGGGCGAATATTATGGCTTAATTAAACATTTTGATTTTAAAAACAACGAACATTTTAAAAATAGGCTTACCTGTGAACAATTTCTTGCTGAATCCATTCTCTAACCTTGATCTTAGTATCGATTGTAGATGATGAATCCTCTCTTGATCTTCGTCCAAAATTGGAGTTATTATCATATGCCTTATCATTTTTAATAAGTTCATGTATATCTGGCTTACTGGCACTACTGCAATATCCCAATTCTCGTTGCTGTCCTGTTTTACTACCTTTTGATCTTTTCATCGTTACATTGGTAGGACTTTGTAACAGGCTGCTCGAATTTCTGTCATTTTGGCTGTTTCCTGCATTCTGATTTACCATTTGAGCCAAGGAATTCGTAGCTTTGTCACGCATTCGCTGGCGTTTATGATAAAGATATACTAGTGCCATTGCGTTAAGTAGAAGAAAAACTACGCCGAAAACGATAACTAATGAAACAGCTGAGCTATTTCTTGATGAGCCATCGTCGTTACTCTCCTTCTGCTTGGACTCTTTCTCCTATTGTAAGAATAAATACTAAATATCAGATAATAGATTAAAAATATATTTATTTATCCGCGACCAAAAATTATCCCATTATTTTTGGACACAACGATTATCTTGTAATTAATTAATCTATATAATAAGCATCATTATACAATCAGCGTCAGCCTATAGTGAATACCATACTATTTACATTATAAATTTCACGATACATGAATTTATAAAATAATAATTTTATTGGTCAAATTTTTAATATTTAAATACCGATTAAAGATTTATACACTCACATTGCTCTTGTTAACTTTGCCATGGTCAAGGTTCGATGGGGGCTCAAATTCACTGTTTGTTGAATTCTGGTGCGAATTAAGGACATTAGCTGACATGGCTATACTTTCATTTACATTTTGACGGTCAAGAATATCAAGAAGTTCCGGGCGCGGACGTCTTGTTGTCCTGTCATGAAACATTGACAACTCGGCCTTAGGTCGCCTCAGCAAGTGTGGAATTGCTTCGTTCCAAAATTGCATTTCGGAGATCCGATAATGATGTCCGATTTGCGGTGGCGTAGCTGTAAAAGTTATTTTACGGTTGAATACTTTAATACTTTTACCATATTATTTATTATTAGCTTATTGTTGTAATTATTAGCCGTAATAATTGTAAACTTGACAAAAACAAAGGTACTCAAGGATTTATATTGGAAATATTTAATTTTTTTAATTACTTTGAAACCGTACTCTATAGTTATATAATATTAATGTGCATCGAGATAACTCATCATAACGAATTAATTGAATTCATTATTGAATCGATTCGATAATGTCGACTGTGCTGAAATGTCTACGAACTAGCTCTAGATAGATTTGCCCTATTGGCAAAACTCACTCATTATAACTCCATAGGAGTAAGAATTAGGGGATTATTATTCTTCGAATAAATATTTTTTGGTACAGTATACATCTTACTTAAAACAAGCAAGTGACAAAAAAAAAATAATAATAAATAAATAAATAAATAAATGAAAGTTTTGTTTTTTGAAATTCCGTGACCATTTTTTAGGAAAAATTTTCTCATAAACACCTTCAAGAACAGAATGATGAGAGTGATGTTTTCCCATTTAAATGAGTAGGATCAAAGATGATAATTTGATATGATTTTAATAAGAATTGGTATACAGTAATGAGTGGCTGTTGGCTAGATCAGTTCGAAAACAAATTCGGCAACGCTTCTGAGAATATTCAATTTCAACATGGAAAGATTGATAATTGAAGCCAATGAGTTTATCGAACATACTTCTCCACCAAAAAAATACTTCCAAATCCAAAATAGATTGAGCAAACAGGGCTTTCAGTCTTGCAATAAATAAAGAAATTTTTAACGCAGCAACGGCTATCTCATTGACGTGAAGTATGTCTTGAGAAGGAATTTTTGAATCGAAAACGATGTATAACGATGAATTTTCAGAGAGCCGAGCCAACAAAAAAAAATAGAGGAGAAACTCCTAAGTAATTTTGCTTCGTGAATTTAACCGAATTTCTCTGGCTGTAGATGAAATAAGGCATCGATGATGCATGATGAAATGCGAAAATTGTGTGCTTTTACAGAGACGCAATTAACGGAGACTTAATTTCAATTATACTGACACATTAACTTCGTCATATCTACCTCATAGAGCGGGAAAATGATATGCTTAAAATAGGTAGTAATTGCGATTTAAGAATCAAACGAGCAATTTCATTTTAATAATTTTTACATTAAAAAACAAAAAAAAAAGAATGAAAAGAATAACGTAACTACTCGATAATAGTAACGATAACGTATATTAATGTCACCAAGAAAAGTTCATCTTCAGCAGAAAAGGAACTTGGAAGAGGGTAAGTTAAAAAAATGTAAAAATATAAAATGAGAACAGATAGTTTCTAAACGCTTATATACTCTACGAATTCACTTTTTCAAACACTTACACAATAATCAGTATTGTTTTATATTTTTTTTTTTTTTTTTTTTTTTTTTTTTTTTTTATTAAATTTCAAAAGGATTTTTAACGATTGGCTTTCATTCCATTAAAATCCAAGCACGTCCTAGAGATATATAATATGATCCTGCCATGTAAACGTTACATTCATTTTAGCAATTTTTCTCCCTGCTTTTATGTGTATTTATCGTAAAGGACTTACTAAGATTGAAGTATGCCTGGTTCTCAGGATCATACGCTGGCCAGTCAATCTGATATGATGAACCGATCTTATTATACTCCTCCCTCAAATATGATAATCGGCGTGGAAGGGGTCTAATATTGTTTGGATTCCTATAATTTGTGAAATAAAAATAATTAACGCGAGTAGGCAAAAGTTTCGTTAGAATTTTTTTCACCGGCATATAATTTAATTTCTTGATAAATCAAATTAATTTCTATCGCTTTAAATATTTTTCCTCTATCCATAAAAATGCTTCGAATTTTATAAATTATTTGACAAAATATCCCCCTCCCCCTCAACTCACCCATAGTAGGCAAAATTGCACCACCAATCCATCATGGCCTTCGATAAAATTGCCTCTCCGTTATCGTAAGGAGCATTAAGATGATATCCTTCGGCATCTTGAGGTATGCCAAGTACATAAGGCAATTCTTCCCCATGTACTGTGAGCTGGATCTGTTGTTCGAAAATTCATATTATTGCTCTATTTATTATCTTTGTTCGCACAAAGTTTGTTACGTTCAGATAGAAAATATAAAATAAAATTTTTATTAATTTATTTTGTTTTCAATATTAATGTATATATGAAGAAGCAAAAAAGTAGCTTTGTTCAATATAATCTTTAGTGACGCTTAATTGGGAAAGAG